GTCCCTAGGGATCCCAATACGGGGAGAGGACCAGTGAAAACAAAGTCAGGACAGGGTGTGGCCGGGGCTTCACACAGTATTTTAGGAGCACAGAGGGACGTTCTAACACGGAATGGGGGGGTGGGGAGGAGAAACCTGGAAAGGATTTTCGAAGTATAAGGTGGAACTCTAACAGCGGGAGAAGGGAATCTTCCAAATAAAAGAACCAAAAGGTGTGAAAAATCCTGGTGGGACTAAATGGCCCACAGGGCGCACGTGGGCGCTGGCAGGCCCCCTCCGCCAGTGCTCGGGGAGGACGCCGGCGGCCCCCCCGCCCCCCGGTCGCCCTGCACCTGACTCCTCCCCGAAGTGCTCCCGATAGGTCCGCCACCAGTGCGGGTTCCGCGCCTCCTGCTCCGCCCGGCGCCGGTAGCGGTCGAAGCTGCGGTATTTCTCCAGCTGCTCCAGGTTGCTCACATCGATGTCCTCGTTGGGCATCGGCCCCAGAGGGGCGGTCCGGCGGTTCAGGGCGGCTGCGGGTAGACAGCGGGAGGTGAGGCCAGGGCCGGACGCTGGCTCGAGCCCCGGGGCCCGGGCTCTACAGGGACCTCCAAGAGCCCCCCACCTCAGACCCCTCACCCGAGGCGCTGAAGCCCCGCCACCCGCGACTTCCGTAAAGCGCGGCCCGCCACCAGGGCGCCGCCATCTTTCCCCAGGACGGCGGCCCGCGTGCCGCCGCCGCCAAGGACCCCGCAGAGGTGGCCGGAGCAGCGCCTGAGCGTCCCGCGGAGGCCCCTCTCCGCCCGGCCCCGCCCCCGGGCTCGCGCCCTGCGGGCCCCGCCCCCGCCCGGGCTCCAGCTCCCTCCTTCCCGGGAGGCGGAGCTGCTACCTCCCGTCGGGCGAGGGCGGCGAGCTTCGGAAGTGCCCGGTGGCCGGCGGGGCGGAGCTGCGGGCGGTCCGGGCCCCTGGCCGCGGCCGGCCACCAGGAGGCGGCATACCCCACAGCCTGCCCCTCCGCGGAGGACACCGAGGGCCTCGGGGCCAGAGGCGAGCGGCGTGCAGGCCCTTGACCCCCGGTGGCTGGGATTTCAACGGTAGCCCTTACTTTCGGGAAACACTTGTTCTCTCACGGTCCTGGAGCGCTCCAAGAACGGGCTCACTTGGGATTTAACTGAAAGGCAAGCACGGATTCCATGTATCAACTGGAAACAAGTAACAAACACGGATGACTCTTGAAGTGGAAGTAATGCCGCCTCCTCCCCGCCCCCCGCCCCCCGCGTCTTTCTTCGTTGTCACTTAACTCCAACACCTCTCTCTACAGCAAACTGAATTAAGCATCTGGGTTAAGACCTTGAAACGTTGTTGATACTTTTGAAGGGAAAAGCACCAGCAGATACACAGCTGGGTCGCCCTCTGCTGTCTGTGGCCTGGGGTACAAGTTGATGGAAGGGGAGAACTGAGCTCCCTGCCACACCTTAATGCCAGGAGCAGTGATATGGAGCAGTTATAGGTACTGAGTAAAGCATCATTACAAGCCAAGGGCGGTGGAGCGTCTCTACTTGTCTGTTTCATCGAGTGACACCACCCAGTTGCCCAAGCCAGAAACCTGGGGGTCCTCTTCGACACTTCTCCCTTCCTGACCCTCTGTGCCAGGCATCAGGTCCATGACCCCTCACTGCCATCCCCGGCAGTGCTGTCCTCAGTCTCCCCTGCACCCTGCAAGCAGCCTTCTGACCCGCCCCCTCCAGTGTGTTCACTCCACAGCCACGATGTGCTTTCGAAAGTGCAAATATAGTCTCACCGTTTAAAACAGTGAGGGCATACCCACTGCCCTGAAAATAAATGAGGCCACACAGACCTGCTTCCTAATTCTACACTCATTTCTCTTTGTCTTGAAGCCCAAGCTCGCCCTTGCGGGTCTCCCTGCTGGGTGATCCTGTCTGCCAGGGGACTAAGTCAATGGCAGCTCTCCCAGGCTGTGCCCGTGCTTACAGCCCCGTGGCTCTTCACACAGGCGGCAACTCGTTTAGGTGTCTGTGGAGAGAAGGACCGAGTTCCAAGCTTCATGAGGTTTCTAATGGGACACTGATGCTTCCCTCCTCAGTGCAGGCACCACCCCGAGCAGCAGCTTGGAGATCTCGTGCCTCTCCACAGCCCTGTGTGCAGCATGCTCTTCTAGAAGGAGGCAGTGGAATGAGGTGGCTGAGACCCTGCGGCTTTCGAATCAGCCCGAGAAGGCTCTACTATTTGCTGTCACCTTGGGCAGACGATTTAATCTCCCTGAGCCTCTGTCCCTTCATGTGTGAGGTAGGGCTGATCATCACACTCTTCTCCCGGTCGTGAGGCAGCCAGTGAATGTACAGATTCAGGAAGGTCCCAGCGCCAGCCAGCTTTATAGCACGTAACAGTGCTACAGAGGGAACACGTCTAAGAGATAAGTATAAACTCTCAGGAGTCAAGGCAAATTCTAACAATCGAATCGTTAAGAATATAGCAATTTAATGGGTCCAAGATAAAGGCCGGAAATAGCTGGTAAATGAAGATCCTTCTGAAAACTGTTCTGGTACCCCCTCAGCCTCGTCCTCCTCTGCCCTTTGTCCTCCAGTGGAAGGTAACCAGTCGCTGGCTGAGGAAAGCCGCTTCAGGAGTTGGCCGTGGTTATGTTAGTGGAGTCCATCTGTCCTCGGGTTTGCTGGGACAACTGCCAAGCTGCCGCCCCTCTCCTGGCGCCCCTGCAGGGAGAAGTGCAAAGGCGCCCTCCTGGGGGCGGCAGCCTGGGTAAGGCCCTGTGGGGGTCCCCAGTGTTCTCTACCCTCCCAGCTGTGGCAGCGGCCTTCACTCTCCAGTCTTTGCTCCCACCTGCTGTGGCTTCGTAGCAGGTGAACAGGACAGAGAGGCCTCTCTACTGGTCCCTCACCACACCCCACTGTCACGCCCAGCTCTGCCTCTGGGAAGCCCTAATTACAAGAAGCGACAGGCCAGTATTCGTGAGGGCTGGTCAGTGATTCAGGCAGCTGGGAATGAGGCAGGAACTTTCTGCCAGCCAACCTGAGAGCACAAGGCTGCGAGGTAAAACCTGGCTGGGCACGGCGCCCTCCTGCCCCCTCTGTGCCCCACAACACCGCCCGCCTCCTCGGTCAAGAGGATAGAAGGCGCTTCAAAACATGTGCTCTGACTCTGTGTCCCAGTTAGGGAGGAGAGCCCGTGCTGTCCCTGTAGGCCTCTCGGACAGAGAGGGCAGGAGGCTGTCCGTGGCGTCTCTCTAGAAGACTCCCCCGCCTCAGAAGAGGCCCAGGTGAAAATATCCCCCAACCATCTGCCTGCTGAGGAAGGGAGGGGTTCACAGAGCCCAGTGAGCCCTTGGATCTGAGCTGGAAGTCTGGGGGAGGAGAACCGAAGCTGTGGCTGGCAGGGTCGTGGGGCTGAGACACCTTCGGCATCACATCTCCCCAGAGGCCACTGCTCCTCGAGCCCTAGAGGCTGGAGTGTGCAGAGAGCACGTGCTCGCACCCTGTCCCCAGGAGGAGCTGTAATCAGGCCCTGGGTACTCCCTCCTCGGAGCCGGCAGCCAGGGGTGCGATGGGAGAGACTTCCAGGGTTGGAGGCCTCCGCTGAGGAGCCAGTGGCGCCCTTCAGGCTGAATGGGATGTCATATTGTAGGAGGCTTTCTTCAGGGTCTCCAGGAAGAACTGTTCATTCTCCAAGAAGTCACGGTCCTGAAAGGCAGGGCTGGGTGAGCAGTCCCCACTGCGTGGCTCCCTCCTGTACCCACTTCTGTGAACAGGGCCACTGGTTCGCAGGACTGAGAGCAAGGTGGAGCCAGGCCTCACTCAGGGGCCCTCTCTCCACTTACTCCCTGGCTCTGGGATGCGGCGGGGGCGGTGGGGGCACGGAAGTGAGACAGCGCAGGTCTCAGTCATGGTGAGGCCCTTTGTCAGCGCATGACTTCACCTCTGTAAACCTGTCTATAAACTGGGGATAATAACATTACCTGCCTGCAGGACTGGGGGAGTGGGGGTAGAGGCTCGTACCGCACATACAGCTTTTAGCACGGAGCCTGGCATGCAGGGAATGCTCTGGAAGTGATAGCTCCTATCATTCTGATCACAGGATTACTGTGAGGTTCAACCAAGGTGGATGCAAGCTGCATCCCACAGAACCAGGCCTGGGGGACGGGTCTCAGAGATGCTCAGTGGGCAATCCGCACTATTATGGTGGGGTGGGGGGACTCAGCCCTCCCTGGGGCCAGGGTGCTCCTTCCTGCCTCCCACCAGTGTGGACAGAGGAGCCCTGGGCCCAGGGCGAGTGGGCGGCTCAGCTGGGGCTGCCTTCCGCTCGGGACGCTCACCTGCTCCGCCGTGTGCCTCAGCAGCACCAGCTTGGCGTGGAGGTGCGAGGGGCCCAGGCCGGCGGGGGGCCGGCTGCACCGGGGCGCGGTGGCGGCAGGAGCCACGGTGGCTGAAAAGGCCGAGGAGGAAGTCAGGGGCTGCGGCGAGGGTGGGACAGCAGGACAGCTACAGCTGGGTCCCTGCGGCCCTCTCACCACTGTGGGCCGCAGCAACCGCGCCAACCTTCTGGGCGCTTCCACCGACTCTCAAAAGCCTTTGAAAATGCTCACGGGATATTCCCTGGCAAGTCCAATTCTAGGATTTTATTCACGGGAAATAATCAGGCAAAGGTATAGAGATGTATATACAAACATTTCCACTGGGGTGTTTATCTTAGTGACAAAAAACCACTCAGTATGGAATCAGTAAAAACATGGGACACAATGGACAATGATGCTGATTAAGAATTACAGTTAAATGTTTAATTACTGATAGCAAGACATGTTCCATATACATGTTTCTGAATGAAAGAAATCAAGGTTGGAAACAACTGAGATGATCTCAATTTTTTATTTTGAAAACATACAGTGTAGAACGCTATGCACCAAAATGTTAAAAGTGGTTTTCTCTAGAGAGTGAGGTCGAGATTAACTTTTTACAAAGCAGCTTTCCCCTCTCTTCTCTCTTACTTAGCCTTCCCTGACGAACATGCGTGACTCGCGTAACAAGGGACCAGCAAGCGGATGTTAACGGGCCCCTGACTCCAGTGAGGGAAGCCGCTCGGGCACCGCCCCCCAGCCGGCCGGCCCAGCCCACGGCCCATCCTTGGAAAGCTACTCACCACCCAGGCAGGAGGCTGCCGGGCCCTGGGCCCTGGGGAGCAGCACCACGGGGCTGGAGGGCAGGTCCTGTCGGATGTGGTCCAGCAGCAGCCTCTGTTGGGCCAGACTCAGGTGCTCCTGTCCCCGACCCCAGAGAGAAGGACGTGGCTGCGAGGGCGGGAGATTGGAGGGGGGCGCGGGGGCGGCCGGCCGGGAGGGGCCTTGCCTGGTGCATGAGCTGCTCCTGCTGCCGCAGCTGCTCCTGCTGCCGCTGTACCCGCTGTAGCCGTGCCTGCTGCTCCTGCTGCACCTGCCGGGCCTCGCGCAGCGCCCGCTGCCCCTCCTCCAACTTCTCCGAGGCTACCTGCGGTCAGCGGGGCTCCCTGCAGTCAGCGGGGCTGGCTGGGTGGGTGCCCGGCCAGGCCCACCCCGCCCCGAGCCCAGCAGCCCGGCACCTGGCTCCTGCTCTCCACCTCCTCGGCACGGAGCCTGGTGCGCAGGGCAGCAGCGCTGACCCTCTCCTTCTCCAGCCGCAGCTCCTGCCGCTCCCGCTCCAGGGCCTCCCTCTCGGCCGCCAGCTGATCCTCCTTGGCTCGGAGCTCACTGGCCCTGATCTTCAGCTCGGCTTGCCCCTGGAGACGGCAAGGCCTTGGGTGCATTCTCCCCTCCGGAGCGAACTCCCCCTCCCCCTCGGTTTCCCAGGCTCCGACCCACCCTGACTCTGGGGGAGGCAGTGTGGCAAGGGGTCCAAGGACGGGTCAGAGAGGCCTGGGGCCAAGAATCGGGGCTGCCCCTCACCCCGGGACTCAACTCCTCTGAACCCCAGCTTCCTCATTTCTAGAATATCTAAGTCAGGGAAACGTGATGACAATTAAATGAGAGAATGTATATAAAGCACCTAGGCCAATTAAAGGAAGTTATTATATGATTGTTTTCATTTCTACATTCTTGTTATCTCTAGGCTCTTTGCTAAGGGACTACAACCCGAGGGAGGAGCAGTGAGGGCCGGGGAAGGAAAGGGCAGGGCTGCTGAGCTCCAGGGCTGCCCTGGAGGCTCTGGGCCCTACCTTGGCCAGGCTGATGAGGGTGCCCTCCCGCTGGGTGTCCACCTGCAGCGCCCTCTCTGCCTCACGCTCAGCCCGCTCCTTACTCAGCTTCTGCTGCGCATAGAACTCGGCCCACTCGGCTGCGAGGCGCCGCCGCTCCTCCCCACACTTGCGCATGACGGACTTCTGCTCCTCCAGCAAGGCGCTCTGGGACAAGAGGGGCCAGGGCACAGGCTGAGCATCCTGAGGCTTATGGCAGGGGTCACAGCTGTACATGGTGTGGCTGCAATCACCTTGGCCTTCTCCAGCTCCTCCCGTTCCATGGTGATCTGCTGGACCATGACTTTCCTCTGCTCTTCTAGACCGCGCTGCGTGGACTCAGCCCTGGACTGCTCGGCATTCACCCGCCATCGCTCCTGGGGGCCAGGTGAGGACATGCGTTCCCTGGACACCCTGCCCGCCCCCTCCGCCCCCCGTCAGGCCTGACTGCGCCCCAGGGAGCTGTGCAACCGCCCCGCCTCTCCCACACTATGCCACAAACACCTCCAGAGAGGTACAGAAGGAAGTGCCAAGCAGGGCTGCCAGGGCCCAGGCTCCGGGATGAACTGCACCAAGGCCTAGAGGCTCAGGAGCTACCACCGAGAGGCGGCCCCACTCCCTGAGATGCAAGCTGCTGCACTCTGCGTGCCTGTCTCACAGGCAGGTGGCCGGGGCAGGTGTGACACAGCGTACGCCAGGGGACCAGGGGCCACACTAGCACGAGCTTAACAACTTGACCATGCCTGCCTCAGGCAGGGGCTTAAGAAATTTACAAGAAGGGTGCCTGGATGGCTCAGTTGGTTAAGCGACTGCCTTCGGCTCAGGTCATGGTCCCAGGGTCCTGGGATCGAGTCCCACGTCGGGCTCCCTGCTCGGCGGGGAGTCTGCTTCTCCCTCTGACCCTACCCCCTCTTGCGCTCTCTCTCTCACTCTCTCTCTCTCTCAAATAAATAAAAAAAAAAAAAAAGAAATTTACAAGAAGACCTGAATACATATGGTTCATGATACAAACACACCTACATCTAATGTTGATAAGTCTACGGAAGATACAGAACATCCTCAGTGGCTACCTCTGGCCAGTGGGTAATTCTAATTTTCTTCTGTACTGCTAACTGTACAGAAGAAACTGTACTGTATTTTGATTTTTTCAGTATAACGTATCATGTTATAAACTAGCACAAAGGAAAGGAAAGGTATCATTTTTTAGAGAATCAAGCTTGTTCTTCAATACAAAAGATACGAAGGGGTTCAAAAATGCATCTCTTAGAGCTCAGGAGGCACAGGCTTCAGTAGACGGATGAACGTGACAGATCTGAGCAAGGTGGGCAGGAAGGGCAGAAAGGGGAGCACTGGCTGCATCCCTGGGGTGCTGGGGAGACAGGCCCTGCCGGCGGGAGGGCGGCCCACCTGCTCCAGCAGCCGGCTCTGCTCGTTCAGGCGTGCCTCCATCTTCCCGATGACCTCCTGGAGCCGGCTTCTCTCCTCTTCCATGTCCCGCTGCTGCTGGCCCAGCCTCTCCTGCAGCACTGGCGGGCCACGGGGTGCTCAGTACCCGCCCTCTGTCCCAGCGGGATCGGGGTGCAGGGGGGTACCCACGGCCCACCCGGTACCTCTGAGCTGCTGGTCGCGCTGCCGGAGCCCCAGCTCCCGCTCCTGGGCGGTGGTGAGGTGCGAGGCCTCCACGCGGGAGGACAGCTCATGCAGGCTGCTGGAGAACTTCTCCATCTGCTCGATGATGCTATTCAGGGACCTGGGGCCGGGGGGACTGGGTCAGCCTGGCCCCGGGCCCCAGCCCTGCCCCTCGGGCAGGCAGGGCCCAGATGGCGCCCATACCGTGTGTGGGAGGTGGCGCTGGTGACCGCGTCGATCTCTCGGTCCTTCAGCAGCTTCACCCGCTGCAGCTGCTCCTCGTGGTCCTGGCGCATCTCCAGGATGGAGGCCCTGAGGGGAGCGAGGGCAGCGCAGTGAGCATGCATGCCAAGCTGCACCAGAGGGCTTGCCATTCAGCTCCCCTGCATCTTTCCTCTTTGTCCTCGTCTTCCTCTTCTCCTCCAGGCACTGCCTCCGCTACCTTGGCTCCTCATCCTTATGTGTCTTCGGGCCTCGATGCCACAACGACTCTAACAGGGAGACTCCTTCCATTACTTAGCAAAGGACACACACAGGAGAAAAGATAGGTGTGTGGGTAGCCTTTTCTTGTCTGGCCAATCTGAGAAGTGTTGAAATGCCTGCTCTGCCCACATCGACCGGCTCCTTTATGTAGCTTTTCTTAGTTTTGTTCTCATCTAGAAAGGCAACCGGATGGACACACCGGGCACAAGAGTGTAAACCTCATCCAGGGTCCATCTAGTCACCAGACTCAAGAGCGCCAGCAGGCGAGGGGCCTGACCTATGCTGAGCTAGGTGCTTGGGTTGCCTGCCACTGCCAGGACCCCTTAGGTCCTGCAGGGACCTCTACCCCACTGCTGGGGGAGTGCTGGGGCCTCCACTCAAAGGCGGTAATGGGTCAGTGTGCCTGGCCTTGGTCCTCACATGGAAGGGAAGGGGTCAAGCCTCAGCTGCTGAGCCATGGCTTGGCGACTCCAGGGAATGGACTTCCTCTGGCCATCCTCGAAGATGGCCAGGCCCTGCCTGTCCCCCAGGCCTCGCCCTCACCGCTGCAGTTCCCGGAGCCGCTCCATCTCATGGTCCTTCTCTTGCATGGCAGCCGCCAAGCGCTGCTGGTGCTGGGCTGTGAGCTCGGCGCGGGCCTGCTCGGCTTCTCGGCAGTACGACAGATACCGGGCCGACAGCTCCTCGTGCTCCCTCCGCAGCCGCTCCTCCCGTTGCTGGTACGATGTTTCTAGCACCTTGACACGGCTTCTGCCAACAAAACACCAAGCCGTGGTGCTCAGAGGGTGAGGGCAGATACCCAAAGAGCCCCTCCGAGCACATCGGCTAGGGCCAGCCCTGAGGCTTGGGAAGCCCGGGCGGGAGGAGCTTGGGTACCTGTGGGCGCTCTCGATGAGCTCCAGGTCGGCCTGGTGCCGCTGCTCCAAGCTCTCTAGCAAGAGCTGGTGCTGGGTCCGCTCCAGCTCCAGCTTCCGCACCTGGAGATGGCGGGAGGGTGGGGAGGTGGGCTCCCGGGGCCGACTGGTTCCAGCCCTCAGAGGGAGACCCTCTTGTCACAGCCTCGCCCCCCCAGCCCAGGGCCCCTCTGTCCTTCACCTGGGCCTCCAGCTCTGCCAGCCGGGCCTGGCTCTGCAGAAGGTCGGCCTGGAGCTCGGCCGTGCCGCTCTGCAGATGCACTTGGGCGGCCAGAAGCTGCCTCTGGTATTCTGTGCCCGGCAGCAGGCTCTGCGCCAGGGACTTGAGGAGCAGGGACTGTAGGAGACGGTGGGAGATGGTCCAGGTAGGGGACAGGGATTCAGCTGAGCTCAGCTACCTCTGGCCCTCCCAGGCCCTGCGCCTCATCTGTGGCCGCAGATGGGGACAGAGACATGGCACCCGGAGGCCAAGGCCGAGGCCTTAGAGTGGTGCGGTCATTGTCCCTCCCCGCCTCCCTCAGCATGACATCCTCCCCAGCAGGTGTTCCAGATTCCTAGACAAGCAGCTGAGCCCTAGCAGTGTCTCAGCTGTGACAAAAGCTTCCTTTGCCCGACCCCGAGTCCAGATGTCGAGCGCCTCTCTACTTCCTGCAGGTTGCCCACCACCCACCATCTCCAAAGGTGCTTCTGGGTTCCTGCGGATAGGTCTCTGGGGTCTCCTCACTGCCGGGCTCAGAGGTGACTGCCTCCCACACCTGGGAAACAGGGGCAGCGGCAGCGGGAGCATGGCAGCTATGGAGGCGGCTTTCTAGATGGAACAACGGGACACGTGCAGCCCTGCTTCCTGACTGGAGTGTTCCTGGCTGCCCCCCCACGGATGCCACCTCTACCTTCCTCCTGGAGTCGGCAAAGTAGCAGCCAACTAACTCTGCCTGCGACTGGCGAGGCTAGAGGCTGAGGGAAGCGCTGGGGGGAGTGCCGTCAGATCTCCCCACACACGATTCCCCGCAGGCTGTCGTCTGTCCGCCCTGCCTACCTGGGCAGGCACAGAAGGCCCTGGGGGTTCCTGGGAGCTCGGGACACAAGCTGCGGGCTCTGAAAATCAACAGCAGAGAAATGAGCAAGAGGCCCGCAAAGGCCTGAGGTCTCGTGTGTCCGTGTGTGTTTGGGAGTCCAGCTCTACTTGTCTTCCCGGACCCCAAAGGAAGCTCAAAGTGCCTCTTCCACACCCATAGGTAAAGCACCAAACAAAGCAGAAAACAAACCAATGCTGGAGAGGTCTCCAAGGGCTGTTCCCCTCTTTGGGTCACCTGCAGGGAGGGTCAAGGCAGCCTGGTTCCAAGTCACAGGGGACCTAAGGACATAGAGATTGTTGGGGGGGGGGGTCAGTGGTGGCAAAGTGAACAGCCTACTGTGTAGAAGAACACAGGGAGACCAGAAGAGGGTTGGCGTGGGCAGTGAAGGAAAAAAGGTTCAGAGAGTTGACTGGAAAGGCCTGGTAGCTGGCAGTTTACTAAGAGTGAGGTCTTGGGGCACCTGGGTGGCTCAGTTGGTTAAGCGACTGCCTTCGGCTCAGGTCATGATCCTGGAGTCCCAGGATCGAGTCCCGCATCGGGCTCCCTGCTCGGCAGGGAGTCTGCTTCTCCCTCTGACCCTTCCCCCTCTCATGTGCTTGCTCTCTCTCATTCTCTCTCTCTCAAATAAATAAATAAAATCTTAAAAAAAAAAAAAAAAAAAAAAAAGAGTGAGGTCTTGGTTGGGTAAAGGAGACCAGGCCCGGCTTCAGGTCCCCTTAGTCGGTGGGCCCGATACAAGGTAGCACATACCGCATGCCAAACCGACCAAGTCAGAGCCCCGCTTGGCTGCCCATCATCTCTAAGGAAGGAGGCCCACGCAGGCCCAACCCAGCCTCTCACCCCCCTCAGCCCCCTGTGGACATACCCCGAGGTGGCAGGTCTGGTCGGTGGCTTCTGTGTCGCTGTTCCTGAGGGCCCTCCAGCGGCTGCTTGCTTGAACCCTTGAGTGCTGGGAACAGGTTGGCTGAGGAAGTAAGTGTTACAGCAAAGGTGGCAGAAGGTTCCAGTTAGGCTGGATATGGACAAGGCCTGAGCATGAAGCTGTTGGCCAATCGTCCCCTCAGCACCCCTCCTGTTCCCATCGTCCCATCTTGGGAATTCTCCTCCCAAGTCTGAGCCCTTAGCCTTCCAGTACCCCTTCTTGGCCCCAGGGCCCACTAGGGCACAGTGGACGGGGACCGACCATCTGCTGACAGTCCAAGGAAAAACAATCCACACGTTATAGACACCAGAGTTAAGTTCAAGTTCAAGGCCTTGTTCTGGCCCACATAGCTTTGCTGAGTTAGACTGGGGCTCTGCTCACTCTCTGGCCAGGTCCAGCTCCCTTTGGGCTCCTCTCTTCTCCTGTCTGTGGTTCC